GAATGAATGGAATCCCAAAATCTCTGTAGATGTTCATTGAAATGAAAAATAAACAACCTAAATTAAAAAAAAAAAAAAGTCATAGACAACTCAATGGTACCTAAAAACTACTAGATATAAATATACACACACACACACACACACACACACACACACACACATATATATGTGTGTATATATTTCTACACATATATATGTGTATATATTTATATATTTTATATATTTACTAAATATATAGCAACATTATATACTACAGACTTCACAGGGCACTAAGTCCACAGTTCTCTGTTCTGGTCCAACCAAACTAGTAACACTGGTGTCCCACTCTGAGTTACTGTTGTTCATTGCCATCAGCTGAACTGCATGATAGCTGACCCTCTGGGGTGGATGCGTGGTTCAGAGACAGTAAATCACAGGGGAGGAGACTGCTCATCTTTCTCCTAAAGCAGCTGGTGGGTTTGAACCTTGTGTCTTTGGACTGACAGCACGCTGCTTACGTCGAGGCCACCAGAGCTCCCTCCTTCTGAGTATCATACTTTAAATAAGACCTGTCAATTGAAATTCTTCACACAGAATGTGGTGACTAATTAAGGATGATGCTGGCTGGGTAAAAAAAAAAAAAGGATTTGGAATTTGGAAAACAGCAATAAGGAAGACTTCACTAGGAACAGTAGCTTCATTCACTGTTTATTTAGAAGGTAAAACAATGTTTATACCCAGTGATGGAAGTTGCATGTGGCAGACTTCAAGCAGTATATAAAGGAAGTTGCCAGCAACAGAGGCTGTTGAAACCATAAGTGTGCAGCCTCAAAGAAATGCTAACCACACAAAGGTCTTTCTACTTTCTGGGTCAGAAAGTTTTCCTGCTGTGGGAAGTTACGCTGATGACTCCTGGGGCCTTCCACTTCTAAAAGTCTCTGACTTGTGACTTTTACAAGAAACTATAATGAACTCAGCTGCCTCTAACATCAACATCTATATAGTTATCTGAAAATGTACATGCACAGCAAATTATGGGTCAGTCTAAAGTTAAAGTTTGTAGTGTTTGTGGTGGTTTGTTGTTTGTTTGGTTTATTTTAAGAGGTGGGGAGAAGATGCCCACAAGAAATAAAATTAGATACAGGTTTACTGCTTTTCTAATCTACCCCATCTTAAAAGAGTGTTAACAGTAAAATAATTGTCATTAATAAGTACTGTTAATTTGATGGCATACCAGGAAATCAGGCACTATAATAAGTGTTTTATTATTATTTAAGCAGTTAAGAAAATGTTATAAAGTTGAAGTGAGTTTAAAAGCCTAAAGTTCCCTTTTTGGGGTAATAAACGGCAGGGGTAGAGGTTTAATACTTCAAAAAGGACCTGTAGTATTCTTTAGAATAGATTTGCTTTCTAGAAAAAAAGGCAGCAGAAAAGGTCTCCTGTGAAGTCTGGTTTCTCCCATCTCCCCAGCCCCAGGGAGAGGATTTTAAAGTTTTCTGCTAACACTGGAATACCACCAACAGGTCCTCCCTGCTGCCCTCCCTTTGGAAAGCTGAATTCAAAAAAATGCATTGCTGTCAAGTCATAGCTGACCCTCCAGGGGTTTTCAGAGGTAGTAAATTGCATGGGAGGAGACTTCCCATCTTTCTCAGAACAGCGAGTAGATTCAAACTACCAGTCTTTGGACTGACCGGCAGCACAACTCCCTACCCACGAGGCCTCCTGGGCTCCCTAGAAGATTGAGGACAGCCAATTCTCACCATGACTTGCTTTGGTGCCTACCCACTGTCCTACCTTCACTATTCTGCCACTGTTGCTTCTTCCACTGTAAAAATAACTAGCTACTGCTGTGCTTTATTCAGCTCCTACTATCATCATAAAGTCTACTCCTTTACCTTCATAAAATATGTTCCTCCAAACAACCCTAAGAACAAGTCTTTTTATCCCCACACACCTATTTTTTATAAATGAGGATACAGGGTATCAGAAAAGTTAGGTCGTTCTTCCCATTACAAGGAGAGCAGAATTTTAACTCACAACTCATGTTCTAGCCACTCTTCTTCACTCTGAAACACTTTACTCATTTATATCCTCCTACCAAAACTGAGATGCCCAATGCATATTTAGAAAAAATACAATGTCATCATTCTCTTCCCTTTCACTCTCTGCTTCCCCTCCTCCCCAGATCTCCCTGGACTCTGCTGGTATGTGCCACTGAGTGAATTCTGACTCATGAGCAACCCAATGAGACAGAACTGCCCCAAAGAATTTACTGCAGGTGGGTTCCAGTCTCCAATTTTATGAGTGCTTAACCAATATACCACCAAGGCTCTTTACTGACTAGGAGGTAGACCCAAGAAGGCTGGAAAAATCTATAGGTGGTGGGCTTTTGAACTGCGACTGGTCATTCACAAAATAATAAATTTGCATACGGACCAGTACATGTTTTAAGACTCTGAATTTCTAAATGTAGCTTAAGTAAACTTAGAAAGTTTGAGTTGGGGGAGCTCTGGTGGCCTAGTGGCAAGAAGCTGCAACTACAATCCCAGAGGTGCACAGTTCGAATCCACCAGATGCTCTGCCGGGGAAGGAGG